CCCCCTGTTTTTTCTTTCTTTCCTTCCTGCCTTCCTTCTTTTCTTTCCTTCCTTCTCTTTCTGGCTTCCACTATGCCTTGACATTTTTAAAACCTTGGAAGATGGAAGATGGAAGATGGTATGTGCCACTGCACCCCCCCCCTCCCCCAGCAAGGTGTCAGGGATGGACAGGGAGTAATGTTCCTCTACCTTAGTCACATACCCCAAGAAAGAAATCACAATGAACATCTGTTCCCTCAGGTACTAGTCTTTTCCTCTCATATCAGAGGTGTGAGCATTTTCCTTCCTCTAACTCAATCTCAACTGATAAAGTGCCCACGTTACCTGGCTTTGAACCTATATCCGCTCAACATTACATAGTTAATGCCACCCCATATCTGTCACTTCTGCATCACCTTCAGCCTGATTTCCCATCTGCTGCTTTACTCTTAAGATCTACAAAGATTAGGGACAGTTATGTCTTCTCCAAAGTTTTTGCTTCCCTTTTCTTACTCTAAAACCTAGACCTTAAATTTGCTTCCAGGGTTATGCACAACCCCACCCCAGCCCACTTTTCCTCCATGGCCTCTGTAACACTCCTTCATAAGATATCGTATAGAAGAAATTGAATAAATGGATACTTTCAGTACTCCAAAACAATTCTAAGAAGTAGAGTCAAATGCCTTATTTTATATATTTTCATGAGAAAGAAGCAATATAGATTAATAACAACAAATGCATTTGAAATGAATGACATTTAAATTCACTATTTTGCATGAGATTAGATTTCAAGAGTGAGATTAAAGAGTGGTGTGGTATATAGGTTAGAGGTAAAACCCTAAGTCATAGATCAAAGGAAAGTTGTAGTCAAGTAAAAGTGGTAAGAAACCAAAACCAGGGAGAGTGGCTAGTGGCAAAAATCCTGGATAGGAGAGAGCTAAGGTAAAATTCAGGAAAATTTGCATTTCAGAATGTGCCTACTCCACAGAGTCAACTATCCCTGAGATCTAAAACCAGGAGTAGTAGAGGTTCGTTATCTCATATTCAAATTTATTTTTCTTAGTAAGAGTCAAAAAGCTACCTAAAGATAAATGCAAGAAAATTAAGAAAGTGGAATATTTTATGATTGCAAGAGGGCATACTTATTCCCTTTAAATTGCTTTTTACCAAAGCCCTAAAATTGCAGATCTTAACCTTTTGATTGTTTTGAAAATTTGATAATAGAAAAATGGACCATTTTCCTAGAAAATACAAGTAATATATTATTTTATACACAATAGCAAAAGATTTAAAAAATCATCAAACCCATCCACAGACTGTTTAAATATGTCACTTACATAGTAGCCACTTGGTAAACCTAACAATTCTAAGTCTCTAATAGCTCCCATCTCAGAAATTTCTGTTGGATAGTACTGCTCTTGAATTTTATTGACCTCAGGTTAAAAAGCCTCCAGAGCCAAATGAATCCTTATAGATGAAATTTCTGGCCTATAATACTACTCAAAATTTCAGCTATACTATTTTCCGCATATAGACAAGAGGCAAAGAAATAGAAGAGGAATATTTTGAGTAATTTTAAATAACATGGTATGATAGTTAACTGCATCAACTTGAGTAAGAAACACCCCACTAAAATGAAGAAGGAAGGAAGGAGAGAAGGGGGGAAGGGGGGAGGGAGGGAGGGAGAGAGAGACAGAGAGAGACAGAGAGACAGAGACAGAGACACAGATGGACAGACAGACAGAGACAGAGACAGAGACAGAGACAGAGAGAGCGCCCAGTGGACTAAGCACCTGCTTAGGCAAGTGCAGGAACTGGGGTTCGATCCCCAGCACCACATGCACACTGGCCCTGGGCACACTGAGCCAGAGACTGAGTCCAGGCGTGGTGGTGCAGACCTGTAATGCTAGAGCTGGGGAGGCTGAAAACAGGAGAATCACTACAGAGTCCAAGCTGCATAGTGAGACCCTGTCCCAAATACATGCAAAAAATGAAAGAAAGAAAGAAAGAAAAAATTGTATCACCCTAGGCCTTTAGCTTCCTGATACAGATTCACATGGTACACTGCATTAAGCTGTAAACTTTGACTGGATCCTTTGGATCTCTAGCATGCAGAGAGCCCTTTTGTATTTTCCACACCTGACTCTTGCGGCAGCCTTTTATAATTCACTCTTGTAAATCCTTATGTATTTGTATAACTAGCATTGGTTATTTCTCTAGAAAGCATTGACTGATACACTTAAAAAATTCACCCACCTTTAAGTACCCATTAATTAGCCTACAATCAAAAGGACTTTAGATAACAAACGATTAATACCTCATTTTTTCCATCTCAAGGTATGTATATTTCACAAGCATTCCTATCACCACACATTCTGAAATAAAATTCCAAATGGCTTTTAAATTTTAATTACTAAATCCAGGGTTTTTAATATAAAATAGGTGTGTGTGTGTGTGTGTGTATGTGTGTGTGTGTGTTAGGTAAGCCTTCTGGAACTTCTTGTGTACTATTGGCACCTAGTAAAGCCAGGCACCTGGTGCACACCTATAATCCCAAAATACCCAGGTGGCTGAGGATTCCAAGGAGGCCAACCTGGTAAATTTTGCAGAACCTGGTCTCAAAACAAAACATTGATACTCACTAGCACATGTGTCCTATGTACCCTATACATCCCTTAAGTCACTTTATCCTCAACCCAAATCTGTACCAGGAATTGAACTCAGGACCTTGTGCTTGTGAGGCAGGTGCCTGTACCACTGATCTACATCCCCAGCCCTCATCCTACATTTTGAAGTGCATAGAATATAACTCCCTCAGAACAGAAAAGGTTTTAGAGGAAATAAATCTTCGATAAATTGATCAAATAAATTGCCTGAGATCACATAGTAAATGCGAGAGAAGTGATGTCAAGGTTACAGTTTATAGTTGCCATAAACAGGAACGTCTAAAGCCATAAAATGATTTTAGGAGATTCAAGTCATGAGTCTGAACAAAGTTCTGCTGAAATGGTTCTATACCTGCCCATGTGTGACACGGCAGCACCAACAAGACAGCTGTGTGGCAAGTAATATAACTGACATCGGTGCCTTTATGTTCACCAATTTTGTGTTTCAGAATCCAACAGCATGTAAGTATGTACTCAATAAACAGTTAGTTTGGCACGATCGCTCCTCTGAAGCTTCTACCTGGTGAGCCACTGACCGTGGTAGAGGGAATGGAGCAGCTAAGCCCCCCACCGAGCCAGCCCTCCAGGGTTTCCCATCGCTCTGACGACGGCATTCACAATGTGACAGGGACAGCTGGCTCCCTGTCACA